GGGTGGGGCGCATGCGCTGAGGCGAGGCGGCGGGCTGGGATGGTGGTCCGTGTCCGTCCCTCCCTGTTGTCTCTTTCCCTGAGCTCTGGGGCCCCTTCTTACCCCTCGCGTCAGCCCTGGGGCAGCTGCTTGAGGCTGGGCTGGTACAGCTGGAGGCTTTTTTGGGGGCGGGGAGGGGTGAGAGGAAAGCTTGGCGTTGCCTCATGGTGTGAGGCCCGTGGGGCCCACAGAGGGGCAGGTGGACACCCACGCGTGAGTGGGGCAGGAGGTGGCCAGCAGTAGGAGATTGTCACAGAACAACTCAAACCTTGTTTCCCGTAAGGACTGCTGCCTCGCAGACCGTATCGGCCCTGTTTCGGTGCCGAACGCGGCCAGTCGTGGTGGCGGTTGACCAGGGTGTCCTTTTGCTGTCACGATTTTAGCCCTCGAGTATTTGGAAGGGAACGAGGAGGAGGAAGCGGGCTGGTTTTGCAGTCTGTGGTGTTCTGGGGGGGTGATGGTGCAGGGGAGGTCTTGCCTCTGGAAACGCTTGTGTTGCACGTGGGCTTGCCCCATGCTGGGGAATAACAAGCAGTCCCCAACCCTGTACCCCTGCGTTCTGTTAGCCTGGGGCTTCTAATATAGGTAAGATTGTATGTAACTAACCAAAAGTAGTTCTATATCCGCTGAACTGGAGCCTTGAAGCAGCTCACATCTTCAGAGTAAAACTGCATTTTAGTATTCCTTTCCTTCTTTCTGACATAGGTCTTACAAACGCTTGTGTATGTGCTTAATTTAAAACATGTGGCTAATCCAGTTGTAGTCAGAAGTCCCATTTACATGAGTGAAGTGGGATGGGATGCATAAACCTGCAGAGTTGTGGTCACAGGTTATTATGTTACTAAGTTACTGAGGGCTGTCTAATTTGTCCCTAATAAAAGGCTGAATTTTATAGGTAGGACTGTAATACAATATTACAAATGCTGTATTTAATGGAGAGGGAAGCAATTGTGCTGTGAGTCACGGATATTTAAAAGTATTTTTACGAGCTGGTCTGTATATTACACTAACCCAACCATAACCATGATCTACTGCACTTACAGTTGTGTAGTCGTAACTATTTTGGCCTGAGTAAGAAAGACGCAGTTACCTACAAATTCGGATTATTAAACATTGTTGCTTGATGTACGTCCAGTATCTCCACACGTGGTGTGTAACTTGGGGTGTTCGATGGTTGTTTTCTTTCCATTTGGGCTGTGCAAAAAATTGTGAGCTTTTGGCAGATGTGGAAAGTGAATTAGGTGATTGCTGGTACTGTTGAGGTTTCTAAAGCTGTAGTAATAGTGTCACTACTGCACTCTTGTTTTATTTGTGTATATGGTAGCTTTCTTATTATAGTTGCAGATTTATATTGGTGCTGAGTCTTGTTATTTTGTACCACTGGAGATCTGTGGAGGGAAAGAAAAAAAGAAATAAATTGAGGAGTGTGCTGATTTTCTTGTTGTACCTGTTATGGATGAACAGACCAAAACAGCAATAGTCTTACAGGCTCTTATAAGGTGACTTTTTTCCAAACAAATGCTTATTTGATGCTGAGGTTGGAAAAAAAAAAAAAACCACCTCTCAGAAACTGCTTATTCCGTTTTATCACTATGTGTTAATTCCTGACAGTTTTACAGTGTTTTATACCATAAAGATTTTTTACACTTAGTTACTTTGTGGTGGCTTGTACTCCAAGTGAATTATTTTTTTTATTAATTATAATTTCACATCCAAGAGTAGTTTCTGTTACTGTTTGAAATGAGAGGATTCTCAGTAAGTTTTTATTTCCTATTTTTCAAATTAATTAATATTAAAGTAGTATTCTATAAAGACTTACCTTATAAGTAAGTTTACTTGGTTCAGCAATCTTAATATTTAGAGACTTTTTGACATTAACACTATAATGCTATACATTGGAGGCAGACTTTAGGCCACAGAAATTTTTTTTTCTTCTTATGCTGCTGCTTTTTTTTTTTGCCTTTTTTTTTTCTCTCCAGATCTTTCAAGTAGTCGTTTCAGAACAGCTAAGTAACTCTTGAATTTGTTTTTTTTTTTCTAACCAGGGGATCATTGATACAGGATTATTCCCATTTTCTTATTGTTGTTCTTTCTTTTGTAGTAGTCCTTGACACCGAGTTGTTTTCTTTAGTTTCTAAAAATACATCTCTGGGCTTCACCAGGTCTCCCTGGAGAGATTCTTAACTTTGGATGTTGAATAAAATAACTAGAGTGGAAGGACTAGGCATTTGCAGCAAACTGCGTGGGATAATTGTTGCATTAAGTACCTGTTTCGTGAAGCAAATGTGCTACATTTCAGAAGCAAACTCGGCTTTAGTTCTTCCGTGTTCTCCCCTCTCCACTTGTGCTCGCTCTTGCCACAGAAAGGGGAGGAAGGTGGATACTGTGGAAAAAGTTGCTCAAGCAGCTAAAGAAGTCTGAAGAAGTTCAGCCGTAAGAATAACCTTAATCTCATCTGACAAGGAGCCAACGTGACGGGTTGCAGTGTGTCAGTAGGATTGTCCTTCGTGAGGCTCGTACTCAGCAGTCTTGGAGAAACAGAAGTGCACGGAGTTCCTGCCTTCGTTCTTATCACTTACCAGCCTTAGATCTCTTGCGTGTCCCCAGTGCCTGACTTAGCACTTGGACTACATTTTTGTCTCCTGAACCACAGCATATAGCGAAGGGATTCTTCTGCTACTATGATAATTTTTTTTTTTTAATTAGTATCCAGTTTAGAAAGGGAATGAAGAACAACATCTTTGTATTGATGGGTTTACAGAAGGTTGAGGGGTGGGAGACCACCAAAGTGGAAAGCTGAATGATGTTAGTTGGCCTGGAAGACATAGCAGGGGTGAAGGAAGTACTTACAGGAAACCTGCTTTCTCATTTGTCGTAGATTATTCTCTCCACTGTCACATAGGCAGCAACATACTTGGCCAAGGCTACCTTATTTTATCAGCAGAGATGGCAGAATTTGAATCCTTAAAAATACTGCTTTGCTACCTCTGTCTTTTATTGAAGTGAAAATATAACTTTCGTTCATGGAATCTCAGTTTGCGTAATGCTTTGCCTGAATTTTGTTAAATTTCACAGAGTTCTTTTCTGCAACAAACTCTCTTTTCAGTGCCAATATGTTGCCAACCAACTGGACACCTGGCTTCCCAAAAACTCAAGTGCATGTTTTCTAAGCTTGGCAAGTCAAGATCGAAATGAAATTATGATAAAAATCCATGTGGATTTCTAACTTGGAGTCTGAGGTTCAAGACAAAGGTGAGAAAGCCTGAAGAAACTGGAATGCTTCGTAGGTACACAAATTGGGAAAAGGAGTTTATTTCCTTTGAAGTTACTGAGATTGTCTTGAGTAATACTGAGTCCATTATGAAGGCGTACGGCCTGCTGATTCCCTTGATACTAATGTGGCTACCTTAATGCTTAGTAATGTCAGCACTTTGTAAGTTATGTCCCATATTAAAGAAAATGTAAGAATATCTTGTGTATAACTATGAAAACTGATGCTAAACAGGTAATACTTCTCAAAAAAAACCCAAACAAACCAACCCAAACCCAAAAAACCAAAACCACATTGTAATCCTGTGACGAATATACCCTGTATTAATTTGTCTCAGAGACAGTAGCATTATGTTTTTCCAGGTGTTTGAATGCTCAGTGTACTTAATGTAGATAAATTGCTAGGTCTGACAGGTATGGAAAGTGAGCAAAGCTTGTTGCCTGTGGAGGTGGGCTATGCAGAGGCGGCGCTTCATGGATTAATGTGATGGCTTTGGACTTTGTGGCTTTCTAATGGAGCTTCCAAACATTTAGTAACTGTTTTTTTTCAACACTGTTTTAGGTATTCTAAATAAGCACTGAAGAACTACTGATAGCAAACTAATTTCCATCTGGACTTTACAGATTACATACTATCAGTAAATTTTTAACCTGCAAGAGAAGGAATATTGCCAAATGTTCTACACGCTAGTATGAAATCAGTATGCCAGTTATTGTTTTGTCCTACAATATTGAGATTGAATGCTTGGAGATTATTACTGCTATTTCTACTTCTAATAGTAATCTTGTGATCTTTTATACCTAGTTAGAGATTATTATATAGGCAGTTAAAAAGCAAAGAAACTGTGATTCTTCATTTCCTTTCTCCTGTTCTGTGTAATCCAAGATCTTCATGCGAAGTCGTATTTCCTGCCCAGCTATGACCAGAGCACGTGTCTTGTGAGGTTGTGCTACATCTGCAACCCAAATAGCAAAAACTGCCTTGCAGCTTCCTGGGGGTCTGATGGGTTCACTGGGGGCTTTGTTTTAGGCATTAGTGCTGTATGTTGAGGTTATCTATTGCTTATGCGCTGCCTGGAGCTTAAGGTCTACTTGTTAATAACCATGTTATACCAAACAACTGTAGGATAGTTCAAAGTATTAGGGGATGTAATAGAATGGCTTGTTGTAGTGGGCCTGTGGATCCAGTGGTTTGGTTGGTTTGCTCTGAGTTTAATATTTTGAGTAGAATTGGAACCAAGTTTTCTGTTGGACAGATGTAGCTGCCTGCATAGCCCTGCTGAACAGTATGTGTGTGGTCTGGTTTATTCTGCGATTTGCCCCTAAATTTCTGTTGCCTCTGGTAAAAGGCAGTTTAAAAAAAAAAAAGAAAAAGATTAATTAATTGGTAGAGCAGAACGAATAACATTGATTTACAGAGCAGGATAGGTAATGATATTTTAGAGAATATTTTAATGTCCCTTCTGTAGTTTTGGTTAATATGTGTGTGGGTAGATGGCAGCGGGAAATGATACAGAACTGCCTACTGACTTAGGATTCAGTATACTTAAAAAAAAACCAAACCAACAAACCAAAACCATTGATAAATCCTCCCTTGCTTATTTGAAAGTTTAGATGTTGGAATGTAAACTCAAGTTATGAGTCAGTTTTCATAACTTTGTGTTTGTAGGGTCCTGCAATGTGTTTATTTAAATCAGTTTCTGATGGCCTCTGCACAGATCCTCTGAGCTGTGCTTGACTGGATTCAAGGCAGAAGTTACTAAGGAATCATACCAGTATTTTGGTTGGCAGGTGTAGTTTACAAGTGATTAAAATAAACTGCAGAAATGAGTTGCGTATTAAACCAGACCGTGACCTCTCTTGAGCTTAGCTAGGCGAAGTCTGTCATGCAATGTATATAGGTTTATCTGAAGATCAAGAGATTTCCTCAAAATACTCCACCCTGTCCTTATCTAAACTACAGATGTCAAACACAACAATGAAAGTATTCTAACACAGAAGTGACTTTGGATACAGAAATCCACGTAATTAAAAAATGTCTTAAGCACCTGACACACATCTTCGCTTGCAGGTCATCAGGTCTGGTTCTAAAAATTTATCTAGCAATTGGAGGAGTCTTCATCGCGGTTGACGAACTATTTGGAGAGCATGCTTCTTTTTGATGAGCCTATGTATAGAAATGCTGGAGCTATTGGATGACAGACTTCATCTGGATCTGGAAAGATAGAAGGTTCATAACTTATTTCTGACGAAGTCATTTGTGGGAACTGATCTCAACTGAATAAAACAGGACCACTGGTACTGAAAGAGTAGTAGACACAGAAGTGTAAGCTGCCTCCTGCCAATCCTGCAGGAGGAAAAAGAATCACAAAATTAACTCTTGCTTATTCTTTAAAAGTGATATAAATGAGTTGGTGGCTGCATCATCATGCATATCCACATGGGAGATCTGAAGACAGTTCTTAACTTTATAAAGTAGGTTCTTATGAACTTTATTGATTTGTTAATGGGCTAATAATTGTCTCCTCTGTTGCTTGCTATAAATTTCTTTAAACAGCAGAGTATTCAGAGCAAGTCTCCTTTGCCCAGCTCTGACTGTGACTGAATACACATTCTGGGGGAGGCATAACTCGGGCAAAGCCTGACTTGTAATGCAGCTGGTAGTGCTGCATTTAATAATGCACTAGATTGAGAGGGTGAATTAAGAATTGGGAACAGAGGTAAAAATGTGATTGAAAAATCACCTTCTGGTTTTAGTATTATTGAAAAGAAAACAGTAGTATTTTACAAGTTGGTAGTTAGTGATTTTTCTCTTGTCTGTTGACATACAGAGGAAAGTAAACTCTGAAGTCAAAGCTCTGGCCTACAAGCATTTTACTCCAAATCCTAGATATTAATCTTTTTCTTTATAGAGGCTTGTTGAACTCTAATATCCGTTACCATTACATAGTATAATCATCTTGATGGATAACGTGAAAGGAGTTAGGTGTCTGCTTATGCTTTTTGAGCCCTTAATAATTTTATTTGCTCTAAATTAGAAGCAGCTCTTGCGCAAAGATTAAGTATATTGCTACTCTCCTCTTTTCCATCCAAAATTTCCAAACCTGGTAACTAAAAGCTTGGTAGCTACAAAGGGTTCCCTCACCCCCTTTAGTTTCCTACAAGATGATGGTACAGTTTCTTATTCTTTAGTTCATTCTGCATTATTTTGGTACATGTACTGAAAGTATTAAAAATAATTTGTGGCTGGTGACTTTTTTGCTTTCTGAGACATGAGGTCGGATGCAATGCAAGTTGTTCCTGGCCAGCACTTGTGGTGTCTCAGCTGGCAGCATCCTGTTTGGGACAAGACAAAGGCCCTGTTCTGGAAATACTGTGATGATGGGGCTCTTCTTTTCTTACATATAACCAGAGGATTATATTCTTTGCCTGTACAGACCATATAACGAGCATAAAAATTCAGTTTGCCATTAGGGAGTCTGTTCTGTACTTGCTAATACTCAGCTGTTTGCCTTTTCCAAGGTAGGGCATAAATTTTTGTGCGTAACAAAGCTGTGCCTGGTTTAACGTGTTCATCAAACCGCTGCTGAAGAGGCTGCCTCATCCCTGGCCACCTCCCGCCTCTGCCGTGGCCCAGTATAGTCCTGTGCTGACCAGTGTGACCAGTGGGAATGCTGCTCCCCATTCTGGGCCCTTGGGTGCCCACTGGCCTGGCCGGCAGCAGAGCGGCTGCCCGATCCCTGTCTGCCCTGTCCCCATACAGCGAAGTGCTCTCATGGGGGGACCTGGTGCTGAGCTGGCTCAGCAGGCTGAAAACAAGACCCCAGGAGTTGCTGTTAGCCTGGGAGGAGCAGGGGTCTCTTCGCTCTGGTGGAGCCTGCTGAAAAACTCAGCCCTGCTTCGGACAAAGCAAAGGGGCAGGGACGCATCCTGCGGTCTTGTAGCCAGCATTGGCTTATACCCCTGTAAAACAATCCTTAAGTGTTCTTAAAAAGCCTGATTTATAGCCTCAGGGTATAGTTTCACAGTAGCTTGAACCTTTCTAAACGTGGGCTGTGATTTGGGTGGTCCCTCCTTTCTGTTACTATTAGAGCATTAGCATTGCAGTGGGCTGGACCAGAACTGCCTAAAGCCCTTCTCTTTGGTTTTTTTTCCCCAGTTAGTCTTCTGGTTCTTGATCTTTGTGACTTTGCAGCTGGGAAGTGCCGGTGCTGTCGCAGGAGCAGGAGTAGCATGTCTGGCCATAACGGAGTGTAGGATTTGCTGAAGTTGGAGACGGTGGAAACTTTACTTGTGCCAGTCATCTTTATTTTATCTCACATTTTGTCTCTTTTTTTTTTGGTAGGGAAGGGGAAACAGACCTGCCAATATTGTTGGAGCTGCTGGTGTTACTCTGTATTGCCTAATGCCTTTATTTTATTATTTTTTTTTTTAAGGGAGAATCTTTTTCTTTGAAACTAGAGGCTCTTGGACTTAGCAATACAATGTAATATTTATTTATTTATGAAAAGCTGTCAGTGTTGTTCCAAACATGTAGTTCACCTGTTCAACTCCAGTCCATCACAAAGGAATCACTAATGCTGACTGTAACAGGTTTTTTTGGAAAGTAAGTAAAAGTGTTGGTCAAGGACTCTGTAAAAAAAACCCAGCATGTCAACACTTAGTGTTATCACAACAAACATAAATGAGAGGCTGTGCATTCTGCAAGTATTACAGTTTTTATTCCAACTTTCAGAGTATCTTCTTTTATTTTTAGATGAATCTGCGTTCTGTATTTACTGTAGAACAACAAAGGATATTACAGCGTTATTATGAAAATGGAATGACAAATCAAAGTAAAAATTGCTTTCAGCTCATATTACAGTGTGCACAAGAAACTAAACTGGACTTCAGTGTAGTCAGGGTAAGTACTGAGGCCTTCCAAATTTGTATGTTAAAGTTATGCACATTCATTTCTTTACATAAAATACCTGTAGAGGGCTGGAGTCTCTAACTTCATACGTGTCTTAAATCAGACTTCAGTGTGTGTGTGTGACGTTCATTTTTATCCAGTGAGTCTGTTTATAGTTTGTTTTCGCTGAAATGTCTTCACGTGATTGCTGTATTTAGCAGGGGCCTGGATTGCACAAGGAGTGATTTTTGTTTGTTTGGTTTGGTTTTTTGGGGTTGTTGTTTGTCTTTTGTTGATGATATTATGGTTTGGGTTTTGGGGTTGGCTTTTTTTTATTCATTAAATTGCAAATTAGTTTGCCCTGTAGAAACCTTGTGCAATGTATTGTATCAAAGAAAGGTCATGTTATTAGGGAACTATTCTTAAGTTAAATTTCTGTAAGCTAATGTATTTGGGGGAATAACTGTAGAAGTATTTCTTTTAACACACTCTGTCACACTTGTATTCCATGTCACAATCATAAATATTGTGGTCCCTCATGGTTATTTACAGTGAGTACATTCTTTTCTTATAAAAGAAGAATGTCACTAGTGCTAACGGGAGCTCTTCCAAAGTCTGTGAATTCCACAGGAAGGGAAATAATAATCCCTTTGTGAAACACTAGACAACAAAATGGCTGTTGTCTCAGAGCAGAAATAGAAATCATCAAGCATTAGCTGAAAAAATAACAACAGTAGTGGAACTACCAGGAGCTGCTGCAACACTGGACACTGAAGAGGAAGAAGTAAGACCAGTCTAGTTTTTTTTTTAAGTGGTGTACCAGTGCTATATTGACAATAACAACCCCTCCTGCTCCCTAATTCTTACCTGGATTCCCCTCCCTCAAAATACTCTGAAAATACTAAAACTTACTTTCTCAGCTCTAGATGGTGGGAAGTTCTGAAAGTCAGCCAGAAATTCAGACACCCTGGAACAGACAAACAGTTGTAACAGGAATCTGGATGCTGATGATGCAGTCAGGGCCTGTTTTTCTATTTTTATTCTGATTGAAGGACCTAGAGGAGGCAGCCAGTCTCTCTTCTACTTGCAGTTCTCATTCACTCTCTGTTCTTCATGTTTCCCTGTCCCTCTCTGTTTCCCTTACTGCAATAATGTATCACAGCCTTTTTCCTTCAGTTTTCTGCCCTTACTGAGCCCTTATTTGCAATACTTAAAACTTTTTTCCTGCTTGTGAAGTGCAATGGAAACAGACCCAGCATTTGTCCTGCATTTCTCATATTTTTGCACAATCTTACCTTTCCTTCTTTACAGCCCTCCTTTCTGCCTCTCCTAATCCTCCCCTTTTTTCTTTTTTTTCTTTTTTTTCCTATAAAACTCTTGGACAGAGATTAGTACTTCTTTGCACCATGTCTAGCAAAATGATACTTGTGTTGCAGCTGGCACTTGCACATATGACTATAATAGGAACACGAATTCCCTAAACGTAACAGTTATGATTCAAATGTCATAAATCTATGAATATATTCTTGTCCTGAATCAGGATTTCTGTAACCTTGTCCCATAGAACTACATCCAGTATTTCCAATCTTGAGCTGGGTTGGAAAAAAGAAAAGTCCTATTTATTATTTGATGTAAACCTCTACAGATTTTTTACTGCAATACATAAAAATATGTTCTTCCTTTCAAAATTAGGAAATGTAGTAGAGTTACTCCTGGGAAAAAAAACCTGTCCCTCTTCAAATTTAATAGAGATGTATTCTAGCTACATCAGGTTTGAATGACTGAAACTAGGCTATTAATATTAGTATACTTCTGCTGGTTGCTTGTTGTCTTTCATGAAATGTGAGCAATGTGACTTGATGAAGTGCAGAAGTTCTCCAAGTCTGATTTTCACAGTATCACTGAGTGCTGGGAGCGGTGATCAGGGAGGTGGTATGGGGTTCTCCCCATAGTACAACAGCAGATATCAGAAGAGTTACAGCTTCATTATTCTTTTACACATCTTGAAAGATTTCCTGAGGACTCTTTATTTTCAGATTTAGGGTGGACCTTCTGGTCAAAACTAATGGGCAGGCACCACTGACAGTCTCTCTGTGGTGTGTATCTGGATTGTGGGACAGTCTGAAGTTCCAGCTCTGCCTGAATCAAACTGGGAATGTAAAATCAGGCTCTCTTAAATTTCAGGTAATTTTCTTAACAGCTGGACTTTTGGTGTATCATCTCTTCTGGGATCTTCTCCTCCTCCTAAATAATAGTTAGGAACTTCAGTAATGCTTCCAGTGTTAGTGAAAGTGCTCCCGAAACTTACTAGTTGGGGAACTTGATTGGAACAAAGATTTGTGTCCCTTTTCTTAGGATATTTTGTACTTAATGACTCCTCTGTCACATCTGAAATTAATACCATGACCTCCAAGCTAGTAACAATGTGGAGCTTCCTTTTCGGTCTAAGGATATAGTTTTACATAATTATTCTTGGTCCTAATGTCTCACAGCGCTAAAAATGGGAGGTTTTGTACTCTTTCCCTTCTCCCAGCTGCACAATTCTTTCTCTCCTTTCTTCTTGTGCTGATCATCTCTTGCATTTATTTAGTTTCAGAATAACCCAGTTAAATTTGTTACCCTTTCCAAAAATTTCGGTTTTTTTTTTTTTTTTTTTTTTTTTTTTTGCCAATTCAGTTTTATGCCTTTTGGGGAAGTTGCACTCGCTGATCCTTCAGGTGGGTGCTTTTGGATAAATGGTGGGAGTAAGAAGCTGGGGACATGGTCAGGAGAATGGGACTCTATCAGCAGTGGCAAATCTGACTTGTGCTGTCTCATGAAACTGTAGTTTAATCCCAAGTGAATAGTAGTGCTAGTAAGTTATTTACATTTCTTTGAATGCATTTCTTTTCAGGAAAATTGTGAGGAAAGACTTCAGATTTTAATTCTATACAGGTGGAAAAGTTGGGAATGAAATCTGTTTTCCTGGTCCAAAACCTGCAGTGTCTCTATTATAATTATAACTTCTATCTTGAAAGTTTATTGACTGAGCAGAAATTAAAAAAAAAAAAAATTGATCTTCTAAATTTGTTTTATGCAATAAAGTAACTTGAGATCTGTGGCTATAATTTCTGTATTTAAACTTACTTTTGAGAAGAAAAATTTTACCACTAGTAACAGATTTTATTGCATGCAACAAATCATGCCTTAGATTAGGCATTTTGTAAAATTTGACACCAAAAATGAGTAGAATGGAATGGAGACTTCAACATGCTTCTATATGGCAGGGATGCATATTTTCTTGTAGAAAAATCTGTTTACTTCCTTAGCAGGTATCCGTACGTGAAGAAAGCTTTCCTCCCTTCATGTGATGAGATGGAAACCCAAGATAGGTACTCAGTGCAGTTTGCTTGTAATGGGGTGAGGGAGTTTATTGATTAAATCAGCTGGTTTGGGTTGCTGAACGTTGAGATTTTGCTTTGGTTTGGTTTTAGGTGTGTAGCAGATGACATCCAGAGTGGTGCAGAAAACTGTTTCACCATATCTCTGTGTGTGTATCTGATCCTTTTAATAACCAGCATAAGCAGATGCAAAAGCTTATTTTTCATTCTTTGGCACTTGTATCCTGCTCGCTTGTGCCCTCACGTTAAGTACAGACATACTGTGGTGAAAGAATTGAGCACGTCCTGTCTCTCTGATCATGAAAATTGCCAGGAATAGTTACACTTCCAGTGTTAGAGCTGGTGCTTCACCAGATTAACTCTCTTTATCTTAAAATACTGAAGTTAATGTTTCCCCTTCAGTTCTTTTAGCTATATCTTAATGTGTTACTTGCAGGACAGGCTTTCCTGTGTGTTTGAAACAGCAGTACATTTTAACCTGTGCACAACTACCACAGTACCTGCATTTTCACTTTTTACCTCTACTAGCTTTTACACAAAACCATATACTGTCATTGTCACTTTCAGAAATGTCAGTAATAGCAAACTTCTGTTGGAATCTAATCCCAGTAGTCTTAATCTTGTCTATCAGTGTCTTTCAAAAGCAGGTTTTGACATCAGATCTTGATTTGTGCAGCTGGTAGGGGACGACTTATTCCATACGTCTAAATACTTCACAAAATTGTTTTGTAGTTGTCTAACAGAAAGAGTTCTTTTTCTTCCTCTCATCTAAATTCAAGACTTGGCAGTTTCTGTTCAAGGCAGTTTTGAAGGTCATATCTCTGTTATTTGGTTGCAAAAGTTTAGCTACGTACCTCAGTGATTGTTCTGCATCCCAAGGAGCTAAATATTAAAAACTTAAAATTGGAGGAGTTACTCACAATGGTGTCAGTGAAATAAATCTTAAGGGTAACTTTGGGACAGGAGGCACGATTGCAGTCTTAGGATTTTTGAGAAACTGGGACTTTGGAATTGAGACTGGGGTTCTCATGTGTATTAGACTATGAATTGCAAGCATGAGAGGCATGGATTTCCACCCTGTATTGTTCAGGCGCTGCATAATCAGTAAGTGATTTACATATTTGTAAACTTAGGTCTCAACTTGAACATTTAACATTTCATCAGATCTGCTTGAAAATAGAATTGCCTAATTTTTCTGCTTATTTAATACTTTGTTTTGTTTGTTGTCGTTGTTGTTTGTTGTTTGCAGACGTGGGTTGGCAATAAACGAAGGAAGATGAGCAGCAAGAGTGCTGTAGAATCTGGAGGCACTCCCCCAGGGACTGTCCCTACTACTCCCTCAGTACCTCCAGAAGCAGCAGTTAGAAATGTGGTAAATATTGCTCGATCCCAAAGTCAGCAGTCTTCTTGGACCTCTTCTAATAACGATGTAATAGTTACTGGTATATACAGTCCTGCTAGTTCATCTGGTAGGCAAGGATCCACCAAACAGACAAATGCTTCAATGGCAGACATACATAAAACCTCTATTCCACGACTACCAGGAAAAAGTGATACAGAGTTTCAGCAGCAGCACATCCCTATAGGACGACAAGTACCACATTGTAAAAATGCTTCCCTATTAGTAGGGGAAAAGACTATTATTTTATCTAGGCAAACAAGCGTACTGAATTCTGCGAACTCCATATATAGTCACACTAAAAAAAGCTATGGTGGTTCTTCAGTCCAGACCGCAGAGTTGGTGTTACCTCAGAAACCGATGATATGTCACAGACCCTGTAAAGCTGAACCCGTGGGCTGTCAAAGGTTACAAAAACCAGAACATGCAGCTCTCGCATCGCACGTGCCCCCTGGACAAAGGGCTAATACCAGGGACCCTTCTTGTAGCACGCAAAACCTGGAAATACGTGAAGTGTTTTCTCTGGCGGTTACAGATCAACCTCAAAGAATTGTGGGAGGAAGCGCAGCGCAGAAGCATTGCTCGGTGGAAGGCAGCTGTCTGTCCATTGCGATGGAAACTGGAGATGTGGATGACGAATACGCTAGAGAAGAAGAACTAGCATCCATGGGAGCACAAATACAAAGCTATTCAAGATACTGTGAAAGCAGCAGCTCTGTTCGAGTAGAGAACCAAAGCGCAGCCTTGTCCGGGCCAGGAAGAAATGTGAGCTGTGGTTCACAGATGGTGAATGCCAGGGACGTGCCTGACAATATTCTGTATCATAACAGAGACTACCATTTGCCTGCACGGACCTCATTACACACAACATCCAATACATTATATAACAGTGCTAATCCATCAAGAAGTACCTTTTCTCCTCATTTTACATCTTCAAGTCAACTGAGGCTGTCACAAAACCAAAATAATTACCAGGTAATCCATCAATTTATCTGTCTTCAAACCTGGAAGACAAGGTTGTAGATAAGCACTGTTTTTGAAAATCGGTAGCTGGTAAGCGATAGGCTTGCCTTTCTGCAAGCTGCACTCCTTTTACATCTTTCAGTAGAGATAATACCTTCTTAAACAAAAGTGCAGGTAAGACCGTCATATGGTAGCACTCTTATCTGTATAGCTGAGCCCATGGCTGCAGTGGGTAGCCGTATATTAAAGATCAGTGTGGGCTTCATAGATTCAACAGAACAACTTTGGTTACAAGAGGATGATACCTACGACTGCTGAGGCATGCTAAAGTCTGTGTTGTCCTGATGTGGCTTGCCAGCACATGTCACAGCAATACCCTTGGTTGTTCCTCTGTAGGCATACTTTGCATGTGGCACAGGGCAGAACATGGGATCATGCTGTCATTTGTGTGCTGTACAGTTGCTTGCCCTTATTAATGTCAGCTTGGATTAGCTCTTCCATCAGCACTGCCTGTACCCCCTGTGCAGATGCCAATCTCTTGGACCCGTTTTCTGTTAGGGATTAGGATCTCCTGCAAGGTGGTTAAGATGATGGGAGACGCTAAGTGAGCAAATATTCTTCCTCTCCCACAGCATCTAATTCAAATATCGCTTTTACATTCAATCCCATTATTTCCTCATTCTGTAGTAGAGTCCCTTCAGTGATACTGAGAGGGGAAAATTAAATGCAGATAATTGAAGATCTAAAAGATGTTCAGAAGAAGCTATGACAGTGACACGCTTACATTTTTTTATTTTTTGGTATAACTAGAGGAGAAATAGTTGTGCAGGAAACATCCAAATTGATTTTTTTCATGGATTTTTATGCCATCTGGCACAACATAGTCTAGAGACACTGAGATAAAAGTCTTAAGACTGACAGGATGTGATACTGCGTGTGTTACGTTTGTGCGTATGCCTGTTATTACCTTTTTAATTTATCCTGAAAGTGAACCACGTAAACAGCATACAATCTTTTCTTGTGCATTGCTCACTAGTATAGGGAGCAATACTTCGTGAAGCATTTTGTGTTTGTTTTTTTGTTTTTGGTTTTTTTTTCTTTTTTCTGACTTGTTCCTATCTTATGAGGATTTGAAAGAAAGCTTTTGTGTCCAAGCACCACTTTTCATCAGAATTATTGCTTTTCTTGGTAAACCTGAGGTTCGATGAGCATATATACTCTGGAGTAGATTCTATGTAGTAGATGGGATGGACGTCTGCAATTCTTATTTATAGCCTTTTCTAAGCTGAGCACTTTAGACGAGCTGTTCTTTCTCTTTCTTCCTTCTCAGATAGTCTGTCAGTATTTGCTATTACTGTTCTTACTTGAGTTATAAAATTCATTAAATGCTGTTTACTTTTGACATCCCAGTTTCATAGAAGAAGAAAAGCTGTAAATGTGCACATCTGTTCAATAAAGGGCTGGTAAAACTGCAGAAGTGCAGATGATAGTTAAGGAAATTTTTCTGAAGTTTCATGAAGTGAAATACATTATTGATACCTCCAGCTGTGTGCTCTTGGTACTTTATTTCACTCTTGAAAAAGCATGAGTGAGATGTATGTCTTACTGCTTTTTTTAGTTCTTAAGGGAAATTTGAAATAACTTTGATTTAGGATTTTTTGAGGGTAGGGACAAAGTCTTTTTAAACAGCTAGGAACAGTTCATAGTAGGTGATGTTTTATCTGTTCATGTGGTGTGGTACAGATCAGAACAAGATCTCTGTAACTTTGTTTTGGGTTTGTTTTTTTTGTTCACCCACCCCCACTACTGTTATAATGACGTACCTATTATTTTGATAAGTGAGGAATTCATCTGTACCCTGTTTGACTTCCACAACTGTCTCTCAGAGACCTTGTTCTTTGGATTAGGATTGCACCTTAGACTAAGGGAGCTCCTGTTTCCTGTGGTATCCCTTGCTGTTCCAGAGCTTTAAACCTTGGAAAAACTGGCCAGGTTGCTATGAATTCACTTATTCCCGTAAGCAGGCATGCTGTGCACCTCTGAGATGACACTCTTCAGTATTAGAGAATTTATAAGGGAGGGCAAAAGCTGTGGGGTCAGAGCATCTAGTATCATGGCTCTGTGGAAGCTGCAGAGGAATAGTGTCCTACAGCCTGGCTAGGTGCCGTCGTACCTTGAAGAAACGACAGTGCTGATTTCTCCAGATCACTGCATTCCTTGCTGAGAGTTTTTAGCACATTCCAGAACAATGCAAAAGTAAGTTCTGTATCTTAAGAGGTGTTAGTGTATGAGAGTGATGCTTCCAACGCTCATTTATCACGTTGACAAGAAAATTTCACCTACTGCCTTCAAAGTCACGTGTAACAAACAGTGTATCCTGCTAGGCTGATAGCATATTTTGTCGAAATCATCAGTTCTGCACTAGTTTAAACCCCTCCTCCAAGTCCTTCCCTTAATTTTAAGTCCAGTATGACTATTTCATGTAGCTTATAGCTTAATAATATTTATATATTCAACTTCCAGAGACATAGATTTCATAACAGGTGCAGTCTGAATTCTTTTAGTCTTATGCAGGATGACACTTCTTTTGTATGGAGCCAGTTTCTGTTAATGTTATTGCCTGTGTTTAGTTAATTTATCCATCAGTGTAGGAATGAAATCCTTAAACTTAGGGAAATCTTCCTAAATTTAAAAACAGATTAAACCAGAGCTACATGATTATTGAAGTAGTTAAACATTCAAGCAAGATGCTTCTTCAAAGTCAGGACTGTGTGATTTATGTTTTAATGAAGTAATTACTGTCGTGTATTGGTGGGGTATCTAATTAGCAATTAGTTATAGCTTCCTTACTGGTTCAATTAATCAAATTCATGTTAGTGTAACTTAAGAGTAAATTTAATAAAGTGATCAATTTTAATGCCTGAGCAGTTTCAGTAAACAAATTGTTCAACCTACTTGCTTTTCTTTGTTTGGCTTTAAGCATATTGAACTAGAGAGGCTATTCTTGCTGTTCCTCAAGGCTGAATCGTGATTTAGTCTTGGTTTTCTTTCCCCAACCCTAAGGGACAAAAATACTGTTGAAAGTATGTGTATTTTTAATTACTTTGTTATACACACTGAAGCACAGTTATCTAATTTAGCCCTGCCTTCTTCAAGGGAAAATCTTAAGCCTTGCAGCCAGTATGTCAAAATAGTGTCTAGATATATTATATACTTATTTATTTGTAAGATTCACTTTGAGGATGCTGCTTTATATGAATGAGCTGCAAGTTTGCTTTATTTAAGAAACGGGAATCCATATTTATTTTGTGGGTTTTTTTTAACATGTCAGAGCAATTTGTTTACTTCCCTAGGAACTTTGGAAGACAAGAGGAGGACTTTCTTGCTAACTTTGGGCAGTGCAGCTTTTGGTAGTGTGACCAACATGGTCTTCTGAAGAAGAGACTTGAATAAAGTGTTTTGTGACTCATTTTTGTAACAGAAGCGGAGTTACCTTTGTCACAGGAGTTCCTCCACTTTATTTCTGGGATGAAATACTTCCAGCTGCATGAGTGAGGAGAACCTGTGGGGTTCTGGGGAAGACAGCAGCTGTGAGCAGGCTGCAAAAACACTGCGTATGGCCTCAAGTAATGCTGGGACACACAGCAACCAGGACTGGGTTGGGGCTCTTGGTTTGTTCCAGTGCACTGAATTTGGGACAGTAAATCTACAGGTGAATTGGGAAAAGATTATGTAGGGACCTCATCTAGTGTAGCTGCTTTAATTAAGGTAACAGCATTGGCAATACACAAGTCTTGCTGTACCTTTGAACTTTCTTTAGCATCTGCCAGAGTTGCCATTTGAGACACAATATCTTTCCAAGACAAGCATTTCAGGTTGTCATTTTTGCAACTCACTGTAGCTTCCCAGTTGGACTAGGACTGGAGTTACCTGTGGATGCAGGATAACTCTCCATCTCACTCAGAAAAGAAACCCAAATGTAAAAAAAACCAACCCTTCTGCCTTTTTTATAGAACCAGTTCAGAATACTTGCATGTTGTCTTTCAAGTAGTTATATTGAGATAAACTAGTTGTATTTGGCATCATGCCTATCAGAACTTGTGTGCATTTGTCTTCCAAGTAACCGTTAATGCTCTGCCAGACTGACTGCTTTATTCATATAGAAAAGCACTTTTTTCTGTAGCCCCACTTTAAATTTGTGAATAGAAGCCATCTGGGTGGATACTGAGGATGCATTTACAGTGGATTCTGTGATGTGAAGCTGTTGTGTGGGATATAGAATTGTAATAGACCTAGTTTATACAGAATTTCTAAAATGTGTGTGTGACTAAGAAATTAATATTTTAGACACAAAAGCTGATGTAAACTTGCCCTTAGGGGGGAAGGGTGTTCATTTCTAGCCCCTGTCAACCCGCCTTGTGCTCTAATAAGAAAGTGTCTGACCTTAGGTCACCTCCAAGCGCTTCCAGCTAAAAGCTTGAAGAATAAAAGTATCTTATGGCTTGTACACTAGACAAAGTGTACCAGGTATTCTATATTTGGTTATGCTCATGCTACAAGATTCATTAGTAGAGCACTTCGCAAATACAAAAACTATTAGCATAGTTTGATACAGTCAGCAGAAGTGCAGAGATTTTTCTTCCTCACATACATAGTGTGTATAATGATTTGAGATTGATTAATCTCTCAAGAGCTATGTTTAGTCTCTCAAGCATTGGTTGTCTGCAGCAGCAGATGAACATGGAATCCTAAATAAGCCTAAAATATTCCAGGCTGTCACACATTTCAGATGGCCAGGAAAAACAATCCAAGATTATTATTTAATAAATTCTGACCTCTGGGAATGATGGAGAAGCAATGGGAATCAAGGCAGCTAACCGTTGTCTTCACACCCCTTGCCCTTCCTTCTCCTACCTGATGTCCCTAGTTTTTCTGCTAATATGCAAATCCTTAACATGTGACATTGAATAGCTCAGTTACTAACGTGATAGGTTTTTTCCTGAAAGTTTAACTGATGTAATTGAAAAATATGTGACAGTGGTTCTGTCAGACATTGGCCCTTGTCTAACTCCAGTCTGCTTAATCTTACCAGTTTTGTGATGCATTGAAAGTGAAGAACACAAAACTTGTGTTCTGAAATACAAGTTTTGAGATAGCAGAAGTACAGAAACACCTGAGTTCCCGTCGTGTTATCTTACCCTTACCCTTTGTTTTTAGCCTTACAACAGTAAGGCTATGTGAGACTTTGTTTTGCTTTTAAATCTTAACCTGTTTTAAAGACGTTCTTATCAGAATTGAATGCACAATACTGAAGTCTTCTGAAAGCTGCTCAGTATTTGCTATTATAGCAACCTAAGCTGTTGTTGTTTTCTGTTCTGTTTCTTCCTTCTCCTCTACAGATTTCAGGAAACCTTACTGTGCCTTGGATTACAGGTTGTTCCAGAAAAAGAGCAGTAAGTATATCTCCATATAAGTATCTAATGCATCAAGTGAAGGAATGAAAAGCTTATAAAAATGCATTTTTGAAAAGTTTGTTCTATTGATATTTTGTGGGGTTTTTTTTCCCCTCTATACTTTGACTAATACAAACATTGTCTGCAGGTACAATGTTTCATTTAATGTAAAGTTGATGTATATCTTTAAAAGCAGGTCATGGTCATAATCCTGTGTCAAGTAATGTGATACCCAGACATATGAATAGTGCGATTAGCTGAAATATAACATCTGAATTGATAAGGACTGAGAGTTTAGAGCTCAGAATAAGTTTTTTTTATATTGAAAGTGAAATGATTGTTAATTGAGGCAACCGAATGCTTAAGAGAGTAGCTCCCTCTTCAGCTACTCTGCACATTCACAGAATTAGTCCACGCTACCTGTAGTAACTTTATCAAGTCTAATTTTATCCACATATATGTCATTTCACATTAGGCAGAATCAGACAAGTTGGTGTCCTCAATTCACAAAGGACTCCAAACCATAACACGAGGTATGAAACAGCTTTTGTCAGGAAAATACCTCTGTCCACCTCTTTTGTTTGATTACTGTTCAGCATTTCCATTCAAGAGTAGTCTGCTAGCTTCTCTTTGAAGAGCATGTCAATTCTGCTTGCTTACCATGAAAAGACGCCCTAAACCTGCAGGTTGGGTGGTACAACCAAGCTTTCAAGAGGCTGTTAGATATTAGTCCAGCTATATCAGAAGCAATAGCTAGGGAGATGGCTATCATGATAACCAAACTTATCCCATCAACACACCCCCCCCCCAAACCATTGAGCTGTGAGTGTCATGTGTGCTGCTTTGGCAATGATGTCTAGGTAATGGAAGAACCTTGCCTTGCCTTCTCCTCCCTTCTGTACCTGGTACTTTTTTCTTTTTTTTTTTTATTATTTTCAGTTCTTCTGTTTAGTCTTCAAAAGGTGTGAGTTTGGTAGCATTTCCTGTATAAGTAGGAGTCTAAGGACCACCACATTAATTGTGTTTTCTCTCAGGCTTTTGCTAGATGTTAACTGTACCACACATAGTTTCTGCAGACTTCGGTAGTATCACTTATTTCTGTTTATATAGATAACACTTTATAAGAGCATCTCCCAGAGGAACCAGTACTTTTATACAAATCCTGTTGTTGCTTATTCTGTCTTTTTTTGTTGTTTTTTTTTTTTTCCTGAGTCCTAGTACTCTTGAGTAGGCTTTTTTAAATGTAGCCCTTTTCTGGAAGGCACCTTCCCTCTATCACTTAATGACCTTTTAAGACACCAAGCAGCTGGTGAGTGTCCCAGAGTACAGTTTCACTGTTCGGCTGAGCTGATTTCACAGCACATCACTGTTGAAAGGGGGACGTTTTCCACCCCCCCTCCCTACTGGTGCACTGCCGCCCCATCCATAGCACTGGTGCTAGTATCTAATTGCAAGGTAATCCAGGTCAAGCGTCTGACCTGTCAGATGCATACTCTTCTGCTGAGTTTGTCTTTAGTGAGTTGAATGTACTTACTGGGGATCAGACGAGTGCCAGAGCCAGCTCAAAGTTGGCAGCAGGAGCATGTGGCTGGGAGCAGTAAAGGGAGTGGGGCATGATGCTGTCCCCTACTTTCCAGCACTGGACAGGTTGTTGAGGCATGGTGGTCGTGCTAGATATCTGACACAAGCTGTAGAATAAATTTCCGCAGTAAGTTTACAACCTTCAAGGATGTGGAAGTGCCTGCTTATTAAGGATGGTTATTAGGGAATTCTTTTTCCTTAGACCTTTACTCCTGTGTCTTTGTTAATCAATAAAATGCATAAAGCCTGTTGGTTAATACAGTCCCATTTGGCAACATCTGTTTCCAGATTTGTGGATGCACTTTCTCTGATTTGAATGCATAATTAGCCTTCTTAAGGAGACAAGTTTAGGAATTGGCGCTCTAAAACTGCTGTATACACAGGTGTAAGAAAACAAAAAGAGAGAAAAAGCTCCTACTTCCTAGGAAACTTCAGTTTCAGATGTGAAAGTCTTTTGAAGAAAGACCGTGAGGGAACAGAAATAGAATGGATACAGTTGTAGAACTGCGATTATGGCAATTACTGCCATTCAAACAGTAAAAAGGCTAATCTGTATTTTGTTTAAAGTGGAGAAGATAGTCCTTTAGATGCTCTGAATTTTTAATCTTTTGCCTTGATGTTTTGTTTTCCTTGCCCTGTCCTTCAACTGCATCAAGAGAGAAATAAAAACTGTGCAGTTCTGCAGAAACTCTTTCTAGTCTGCTCAGCTATGCTGTAAAATGACGTAATTCTGACTGTTAATGAATATTAGTCTAGAAATATCACCCTCTCAGTTATTCATGAGAATGTCTTTGGAAATTACAGAGTTCTGTATTTAGTCATGGTGCATGTGCAGTGCATTGGCCTTTACAAATGCATTGATTTTTGGTTTTTCACAGGGTGGTGGAAGGGTAACAAGGATTCAAAAATAGCAGTGAAGATACTGGTTGAAGACAATTAAAAGGGGGAAAACATATTTGCTTTTGTCCTTGCATTTAAGTTTTGAGTGTACTAACTGCTTAAGCTACATCTGATGTCTTAGCAGAATGGTTAGTGTTTATGGTAGCTATAACTTGGTATGCTAACTATGAAAAACATTTGTCACATAGGTGTTGAGTCTAGGTAAGCTGTGCCTGGCTTAGTTGTGAAGTTTTATTTTGGGGGAGAGGGGGGCTTTGGTTTTGCCTTTTTTTTTTTTTTTTAAAATGTCTGATTAGAAACTGTTCTAGTGGTCTTAATATAAAGTCTGAAACACAAAGTCATTAAGAGAGCAGATTAAGGTCTTATAATTATTTCTGCCCATCATCCTTCAGAAGCAGGCATAGTAAATCACATGGTATGTAGCATGGGTCTTGGATGGGATTTTAAATGAAACTCAAGTTGTCTTTCATGTTAACGTCTGGGCTAGTTCGTGCGAGGTTTCAATGGAACACTGCCCTTGGTGGAGAAACTCACGGGGGAGCTGGTCTTGTATTTTCCCCTTACCTGGAGCAACACTGCATTGTAGTGATGGCTTCAATACCTTCTTGAACAGTGAACTGCTGCACTTTGGTGGAACTTCTGCCATAGGCAGGTTGGCTGAATCTGCCTAGAGCTTCAGCTTGGGGTCTCTGGCCTCTCCATCTGGCATGCATTTTGGGGGGCAGATACCTGAAATGAGTGGAGAGTTCCTGTGCTAAATTTTTATTTTTAAATTGCTTTTTCAATATTGCCTATTTGAATAAAATTCTGGAGATAGTGGCATTAAAGTGCTCCCCTCAGAGTCCTGCCTGTCACAGAAAGAGTACAGTAGATGCACTTTGAATCAGGTAAAGGAGCTGGTCAGTGTGAAACCTGCCACCAGTTGTGCTGGCACAGCTGTGGGCATGGGGAAGACAGCCGGATTGTGTGGAGGAGACTAGGTGGGGGAGATACCTTATTGGACTACAGTCTGTATTTTCTTTAGTAGTTATATTGATGTAAGTCTCATGCAAACTGTCGGCTGCCGCTGTAAGCCCACGTGCGCTGGAGGGAAAATATTTTAGAGTGGCTTTTAAAGTAAAATAAGAACCCATAGGGATTAAAGCTACCTAAAGTCAAAGTGTATCTTAGTTGTACCTTTTGTTTTAAAATTATACCAGTACTAACTTGTGAAGTTCTCTTCACCTGTTTGCATTCTTTTCCCCTAGAAGGGCAAGGGGAAGAAAACTGTATTTTAGTCAAGTTGGTTAGAGCATGTCTGAGTAAGGTAGTCGGAGTCTTCAGCAAGAGAGACAGACAAGCCAACCTGAAGATCTCAACAGGACTGAATTGTGAACACTGTCCTTGTTCATGTTTTCTGTGTCATTTGGATAACTGGTTAATGTTTTTCCTTTTTCTGTGAAATATTTCACCACATATCTCAAGGTATTTCACTTTGTTAATGTTTACCTTAGATAATAATAACATGCATAGCGTGTCATGACCTTCTTGCTGTGAACAGCACCTTTTCACTACTCCCAACAGCAATCCTTCAATTCATGCAAAGAGAAGGCAAGTCTTACCATCATTTCAGACAAAATACATCTTTTTATTATATGTCATGCTGCACCTAAGTTCCACAAATCACCTAGGCTTATTGTACGCTGTGATCCTGCAGGCTGGAAATATGTCATATCGGGCCAGGAATTGGAAAACCAGACTTTGTAGTCAAATATGAGGAAGACATTAATAGGTTAAGTAAGAATCATGATAATTACTGTCTAAATATCAGTTTACTTTGCGGCTGAATGTTCACAACTTAACAAACTAGTTCAAAATCTCAAGAAGAAGGGTGAGTTCTCAGTTTGTGTGGATTGGAAGTTGGTTTTGGAAATTATGGAGTGAGATGACTGGAGTTTAGAGTGTAATTTTTTGGCTAGACTAGTCTATTGCACTGATATCTCTTTCTTTTTTTTCCTTTTTTTTTTTTTTTCCTTCTTAGCTGTGTTTGGTTAAGAAACACATATTAACAGAATATATGTAATTTTGTCTGAGTGTTGAAGCAGTTACAGCTCTTTTCAAGCTGTGGTACTATGAAATATTTATCAGTCCTGCTTCCACCGCAGCAAACTTCAAGCTTACCCAACCAGTGGGAAAAGATGCAAAAAGTCTCTCTTCCAGGAATCTTAACAGTTTGTGCACTAGCAGCGTGTTAGCAATAATAGTTTAAGGGTGCCTTCAGATGCTATTTGGCTTGCGGTCTGTTTCCAAACACCTTTTTGCCTGAAGGCTGTGCAGCTTGCTGCTGTATCTTCTGCTCTGAATGGAGCTGGTAGTAGCAACTCTCTCCTAGTCATTTGCTTTGCTAGGGGCCTTCAGGTACATTTTTTTGTCCTCAGAAGATTGAAGGTATCTCGTGATGGGTACTTATCTGCTCACCTGATGAGAGGGGACCTGTCAAGACTCGGGGAAAGGCAGTGTCTAGATACCAGCTCTCTGAA